TACTCTTACTTGATAATCTTGAGTTCATGTTCAATCTATGCATGTTTTCATGATTCAATTCTGCTTTAGTCAAGATTATTGATTCTGCTTTGATCATATGAGAGCGAATACCTGATTATGTCAATAGAGCACCATAGATTGATAGTATTGGATCAATTGCTTTAGTAGAGGGTCGATTAACTGCTTTGTATCAATTGAGAATCTCATTCGATAGTGGGAATCTAGTTCAGAACGCATTGATCGGTTGTTCTATAGAAGGATACGTCCCTCTAGGCAATTGACTCAAGAGGGCCTTGATCCTTTAGTCGAGATTCAAGGTCTAGTCACGGATTCTCCGCATTGCGAATGAAAGTGAAACAGGTTAAAGATCATCAATCATTAATCTGGCTAGTGGCTAGGGGGAATAATAACTAAGTGAGTTCCCAACCTGTAATTAGATTAACTTTAACTGTTGTTTGCCAGAGTAGTTATAGTTTTTCTTTCTTAATTTGGTTTGCTAGATAAAGAACAGAAGCTGAGTAATAGTAACTCTAGAGACCCGGTGATTCGATATTTATTACGTGCACCACTATACTACAGTCCCTTTCATTGGTTACATTTGGCCACTGTTAGGAGTTATGTTTTAGCGAATCAGTTGCTTCCACTTGGATTGCCACTTGTACCAACTCATTCGAATCAATAAAAGGTTCAATCTCCACCACATGCATGCCTTATCCCACGATTAAGACCATTGAAAAATCGAGCTATAGTTTCCTCCTCATCTTCATCAAAATCAGCTCGAGCCATTAGACGATTCATCTTCTTAAAATAATCATACATGTTACGCAAGCATGCTACTGGTACATTAATGTAGGGGTCACATTCCCAAGTACACTAACAAGATGGTAGCATATTTTAAGTAGGTTTAGTTGTTTACAATATTCACAAAGTCATGCTGCTATCTACCTCTCCCTAATAATTAGTATCCATGTTTTTTATTTTTATAAAATGTTTTGGTTGTGAAAGTTTTCTTTGTCAAACAAATTATTATTATTATTGCTTCTCAAGTTGAAATCATCATTTCTTTACTATCATGGTTCGAAAAGGCACGTTTAACATTTTGCTTAGACAATAAACAATATAAAAATGTCTTGTCTAGGGGTTCCAGAATGAGTTAGGAATCCAAATGTGAGGGCGAAGTACGGCAAAACCTAGGTGTGATTATGCGGAGCTAAATACTCAACATCAACAGATAAATTAACATCCACAAATATAATCTTTTCTCTGAATATTTTCCGTAGCTCGAGATTTTTGGCTATTGATCTATTCTATGAAATTTTCAGGATTATTTTTCTTGCTATTAACTGTTATGTATCAATCATTTGAACGAAAGTAGAAGTATCGTAAAACAACTACTTTATTCATCATTTAGTACTAACTTATATATTTGGGTCGCCTCTAACAAGTTAGGAGCCAACAAAGGTTTCAAAGTCTGCCATATGCCTAGTGCCTTTTTGAATCTTGGTTATACCCAATTTATCATGTCATTCCCCTTATAGTTGTTTCTTTCGTTATCTTTCAATTTCTCATCTCATACATCCAATTTCACCATAAGCTTTTTTCAATATAATAAGATATCAAGGTAATATTTAAATATTTATTCAACGTTATCGAAGATTTACGTATTACAAATACATTACGTAAATGATAAATAAATAACATAAAGCTTATAAAAGATTGTTATATTTTATTTATCAATTAAACCAATGCAGTCAAAATTGCACTTTAAAACTTAAAAGCTTACAATTTTATGCATCTAGGTCACCAAAATATTTTTGCTTCTATATAAAATCTTTATTGTCTAAATTCGTAATAAATTGCGCTTTAAAACTGAAAGTCGTGCTTTTGACTGCTTAAATTAAACAAATATATTGCGTGAGTCTTTCAATAAGTCAACTGTGTAAACTAGAAATAGAGTGATATTCTAATCGTCACTATGCAAAGACCAAAGAATCAGGGATGGAAAACCTCTGTATTTAACTCAAAAAGAAAACATATATATTGTTGATTCAAACAAACTGGAATCTCTTAATGAAACATGTTTTCAGGCATCCTCATGTGATCAAAAATCGTTGTGGCATAAAAAGTTATGGCACATCTGTCTTTCTAAACGTTCTACCTGTCGAAATCAAATTTTGTTAGAGGTCTTTCTGACAAGGCTTTTTCTGTGATGCTTGTACTGCAGGTAAACATGCTAGAAACATTTAAAAAGGAAAAAAATACCACCACCTTAACCACTTATGAAATCATTCATATTAACCTCTTTGATCCTTACTATATCCAAGTTTGGATGCAAAATCATAATCATCACATACTCCATTCAATAAAGGTAGCGTATTGTTATGAAATAACAAGGAAGAGGAACATACACAAGAGTAAGAGTAGAGACACAAGAAGAGAGAGGGAATAGAGCTTTCTTATTCATGTGTTCCATAGTACAAGGAGATCATCTATTTATAGGCACATATCACATAACCTCTACATTCTTACAATTAATATACATGAATGTGAGAATGAATGTGAAATAGAAATGGGATGGGGTGGGGGGGGGGGGGGCTTACATGTAACACCCAATTGTGCATCTAATGTGGTGGCCATCCACATAAATATTTACATAATACTCCCCATTGGATGACCACTAGAATGCATTACGCTATCTCATGCTGCCTCATTCAAAACCTTACCAAGAAAACCCAGTGGGAAAAAACCATGGTTAAGGGAAAAAGAGTGCAGCGCGTATATGCTCCCCCACATGACAACATCAAAGTGTAGTTTTGTGAACATAACTTTCAAATATACTCATGGTAGTTTCTTAGTGAACAAATCTTCTAGATTGTCACTTTATGCATGATCTATTATGACCATTTTCTTCACACATGACCTTCAGTATAATTTTCTATGAAAATAGTCCATAACCTTAGGTCATTTAGACCTGTTGAATCACAAATCTTAACAAAAAAATTCATAACATGTCTCATGAATGCTAAATATTTTGCATGATCTGATGATACAACATTTTTATTTGTTTAGAATCTCCATGAGATAGTTGTACGACCAAATAACTCATCTTTGATCATCATCGTTACCTGAAGGTAACGAAGTATAATCTTAACTCTGTTTGATTGTCATATACAGAGAGACACTGAACGAAATGCTAGATGGCGTGTGGCTAGCAAGATACATCAGCACTCTAATGTCATAAATATACGGTACTTCGAGACCTAATCATTCATAAATATATGCCCTTAAAATTGCTAAATGTCGCCCTAAAAAACATCAAAGTTACAAATTTGACCTTTTAGCTTCTTTACTCTTCCTTTAGCAAACAAACACCACTTAGTAAAGAAAATAAAACATTATTCAAAAGAGAGAATCCATCATTGTCATTCTGGAGTTGGAATCGTCGATATGATGTCTGGATCATGACTAGCGACTCTGAATCGGTAAAGTTCACTCAAAAAATTGAAAAAAAAAACAAAAAAAGGGTGCAACCGCAAATGAGCTGCGGACTGGGCCTTTGCATGCCTTCTTTGTGTTCTTGCCTAATGCTTGTCAATGGAATAAACTTGCTTGTATCCGTCTGTGGAATGCAAATTTGGATGCAATTCCAATTATGTGAAAGCAGGTTTTATTTTGTCATTTTCATTCTGCTGCCTGCTTTTCTTCCTCGTGCCAAATTTATTTGTAGTCTTCATCGTGAGTTTCTCCAATCTGCTTTCCCTTCTTCCAACCTTTACGGTATCTAGGCTCTGCTCAAATTCATCTGTGCGTGATTCTAATTGGGTTTTGGAAGTTACTTACGAAATTCCCCGGTGTTAAGTCTCCCGTCGCTGCTTGAGATTCATTGTTCTCTGCACTCCTATGTTGAACTTACAGCAGTGAATTGAATTGAAGTAGTCGTTGATGCCTTGTTTTCGTTATTCCTGTTTTCTGCTTCTTCTTATTGCTTAAGCGTGAGAATTATCATGTATAAACTTCTGGTTTTGCAGGTGAGGTTCTTGGCGGATACTTCATCTGTTGAAGAAGATACTCGTACATCGTTGGTATTATCGGTATACCGGTATACCGTCGGTAACTACCGACTCTTATCTGGTATTAACGAATGTAAAATCACACGCCCGAATACCGTCGGTATCCGGTACAGTATCCGGTATACCGGTTACCGGTTTACCGATTACCACCCCATTTCATTATTCATATGGACCTCTTTGATCCTTTATATGTTTCAAGTTTGGGTGGAAAATAATAATCATCACCAACTCTGTTCAATAAAGGTAGCGTACAAATTTGTTCCTTTTATTACATATAATAAAGATTTGCATGTTCCAGGTTATCATGCCATTAGATGTACTTCAATGTGTTCTGGTCAATCAAGATGATCAATTATTGTTTTCTATTAAATCATAACCATGGCTGTGTTGTACAGGAGTGATGTCATTCAGGGAGGTTTGTTGTTTTGTCTAGGAAGGGTTGCTTGCTCTGTTTTGTAGCGAACGGTCGTGTTGTTGTGTTTGTATAACGAGTTTATTCATTAAATAGAATTATAATAAATTATGTGATCGTTATAAAAAAATTGTTTCTATTAAATTAAACTTCAAGTTTTGTTTCACAAAGTCGAACCACGAGTTTATTCATTTAAGACATAGGCGGAGGCAGGGGCATTAGCCCTTGGCACGGGACATAGGTAAATTTCAGAGTGGAAAAAAATACCCATATATATTTATATTGACAGTGGAACAAATAATTAAAGGTGGTATCAGAGTATTTTATCAGTACAACACATCTTATTAGTTGTTCATAAATTGACATAAAATTAATTTATTATACTATAAACGAACTTTTAATTGCAATAAAGACGTAATAAAATATTTTTTCTCCTTATGTCTATTCGTTTTTCCCAAACAACCCTGGAATTTATTCTGTTTTTAAATTAGTCGTCTGTCATTTTTGATGCTCTGAAAATGCTCTCAACTCCGACAGCACTCCCGACCCCTCCGGTGAAAGGTCTAGCCTTATCAAGAAGGCCGTCGGACTCTCCAGATCTGACTATTCCACAGCCAACGCCTTCACCAATGATCCCTTCGACGCTGAATTTCAAAGAAGCACTGTCAGGATTGACGTCGGCGAATCAATCAAGGAGATACCAATGGACCTTCATCGAAGATAAATATCTCGAACCATCGTCTTTTCAAGGGGAACTAGCTCTCAAAATTTCGGCAACATTAAAAGAACGACTCTACCAACCGTGGAAGAAAACTCTCATCGTCAGACTGCTTGGCAGATCGATCACCTATTCCTATCTCGTCTCTCAACTGAAGTGGAAATGGAGACCGGTGTGTTCTTTGGAGATTATGGACCTCAACAACGAGACCTTTTTGGCGACTTTCAGAGACGATTAAGACTATCTTAGAGCTCTCACAGGAGGCCCCTGGGTCATTCTAGATCATTCTTGATCGTCCATCAATGGTCCCCTTCCTTGCATACATCAGACAAACCACATCGTTCAGTGGTGGCATGGATTCAATTGCCAGAATTGCCTGTCCATTTCTATCATCGATAGATTCTGTTTTCTCTCGGTAACTTGATAGGGAGAACAATCAAGCTAGAATATCATACGGAACAATTACAACGAGGTGGAGCTCGACATGACGAAGCCTCTACCGACCAAAATTTGGCTTGATCACTTTTGGCAAGCCATCCTTTACGAAAATCTACCCACAATATTTTATGGTTGTGGGCGTATCGGCCATCAAGAAGAGAATTGCCATCAGAATTGCTCTAGAGTCCAAACCACTGTTCTGTGCCTACTAGAACCCTCTCTGCAAGGGCAAACTCAGGCGACCTCCCAGGAACCTCCAGCGGGATTATGTCCCTGGATCTAGTTCACTCGCAAAACTCGAAACATGGAAGGAAAGCGAAAAATATGGAAATATACAATCGGGGACAGACCCAAACTAATCACCCATATTCTGGTAAATCCACTGTGTCAACAAAAGGAAAGAGTGAGGAGCCAAATGGGAATGCCTCTAGAGAAGGAAAATGAAAGGTCAAACAGAAACAGGGGAACAGGAATGGAAATTTAGTGTCGTTAAAGGCTAAATCTTCCAACCTGGATGACAAGGCCAACGGTAAAAAGAAGATCCAGGTTGCGCAGGAGTGGCGCCCCATTGGAGAAAAGCAATAGAGGGAGGTCCAACTAAAAGACCAATATGGACTAATTGACCTAGGTTTCAAGGGACTGATCAGACCAATATGGACTGATTGACCTAGGATTCAACTAAACGCCTATCCAGGTTGCGCAAGAGTGGCGCCCAATTGGAGAAAAGCAACAGAGGGAGGTCCAACTAAAAGACCAATATGGATTGATCCATGTTGCGCAGGAGTGGCGCCCCATTGGATGGATGAGCCATAAGTGATTGACCTAGGTTTCAAGGGACCTCAATTCACGTGGTTCAGAGGAGACACTTATATCACTAGAAATCCAGCCGGATCGATCGATCTCTTTCCAACAGGGACTGGAATCTTTCCTTCCCGCACACCACAGTTCAAAATCTTCCAAAGTTTCAATCTAACCACCTGCCTATCCTTACTTCTATTCAGAATCAGCAGCTTGCTAGTCTTCTTGCTGATAAGCAATTCAAGTTCGAGGCAGTTTGGACTACGGACAACTGACTCTCAACCTTCCTCTTTGAGAATTGGAAGCAAAGCCTACCCCTTCAGCAAGCTCTTGAGGACATCACCCCAAAGCTTCAGCTACGGAGTAAAGAAGTATTTGGGTCTATTAATAAAAGAAAGAGGCGTCGTATAGCTCAAATTCAGGGGATTACTTCTCGCTTGGCCGATTCTTTCAATCCTGGTTTGCTAAAACTTCATATTAGATTGGAGAAAGAATTGGATCAGGTGCTTGCACAGGAAGAGCTTGTCTGGTATCAACGAGCCAGGGAGAACTGGGTTATGCTTGGGGAACATAATACTTATTTCTTCCGTCATCAAGCAACACGACGTAAAAGAAGAAACAAAATAACTACCCTTTGTGATGCTAATGGGGAATGTATTCAAGCTTAGCAGGAGCTTCTCCATATGGTGTTGGGCTTCTAAAAAAAGGCTCTATATAGAAGATAGCAGCCACTACGAAAATCTCATGCCTTGTAACTCCTTTCTCAGGCTGCAGCAAGAGATATCATGATGCTGCACCACCCCTTCCAGATGGCAGATTTTCATAAAGCTATTTTCGAAATGAAGCCATATTCTTCCCCATGCCCGGATGATTTTCATGCCATTTTTTTCAGGAGAAATGGCGGAAGACACCCTAGATCCAACGATTGTGCTTATCCCCAAAATTGATCAGTGACACGCTACGACACAACACCAAAGTGAGACCAAGTGTAGTCGCAGAATGGAAATGCAGAATAGTGGCAAGTTAACTTTTTCAACCCGTGGACTAGATTTACTGCCTACTCCGTGCTTATCTATTATCTAGAAGGACTAAGTGTAGTGAGAGTGATTGAAATGAAAAGTAGTAAGAAAGCAGGAAATTGATCGAAGTTCTCAAGCAATGGAAGAGTCATTCGGGAATGAGTCGCACTAGCTCCTTAGTTAGGTCAAATTTGTAATTTCCTTTAGTTGATTTACTGTTGATTAAACTGCGGAAGCTCTGACAGTAGCTTGGAATCTCTTAAGCTGACCAAGCCCTCTCAGATAGATTACCTTGCTGACGACTAGTCTTCACCGAGATAGAACGCAGAGGCAATAAACACAAAATTCCACTACTGGAATTGGATTCAAGCTCAAAGCAGTGAATCGATTAACTCTTGTATAACCAATTCACTACTACCGATTAATGAAGCTCTAACAACCTAATCAGATTCTATCTATCTCAGGTTGCAGCAGAAATCAAGAAAAGTTTATCAGGCTTCATCAATTGACTCAATGAATCATGCATCAATCGATTATAATCAAGCGGTATATCATCCAAAAGTCATTACAACAATGATCCCCAACACATGGAACTAGGGATCTTCATACCCTAGTGAGAGAGGGTTCTACTCCATAGAGAAAGAGAAAAACAAAATACAAAGCAGTCATACTCATAATGATGTGAAGAATCTTCTTTGGGATGATAATCTTCATTCCAAGGATGAAATCCAAGCTTGGTTGATGAAACCCAACTCCAGAATCACTCCTAGGGTTTGTTCTTCAAACTTTCTCTCTCTACGACTCTATTTTTGCTCTGAAAGTTCGTCCCCCTCTTCAAAGACTCGAAATTGGGTTAAAACCCAGAATTCCACGATCACACGGCCGTGTGGAATCCCCAGTCTGCCCGTGTGAAATCCAAAATGCGGCGTTGATTTAAGTGACGGAAGGCATGTTACACGGCCAGAATTGCACAGTCGTGTGGAATTTAGGCCTGCCTGTGTGAACTCTCTGGAAATCCCACGCAGCTAAAAGTGGCCCTTACACGACCAGTGTGGCCTGCACGCGCAAAGTGGTGCCACACGGCCAAGTCACACGGCCGTATGGAATTTAGGCCTGGCCGTGTGGTTTCCTCAGCTTCTCGCCAGCCGTGTGAACTTCGTACAATCGACCCCGAACTCGTGCCCAAACCTTCATTCACGTACTAGGACCTGAAATATCATAAATAAGAACAACCTAGCGTGAAATCTGCCTAAAACTCCAGAAATGAGCCTCAAACGGTATAAGAATGGTGGACAAAAAGATGTGCATATATTAAGTCATCAATCAGCCGGAATCACCTGCCCATTTTAGATCGATATGTCTTAACAATGTGGCTCTTAAGGTTGTGACTAAGGCGGTTACAAACAGATTAAAGCCTAAATGCCTAAGCTCATCGCTCCAAATCAGAGTGGCTTCATAAAGGGTAGACAAACCAATGATAATATCATTCTACTACAAGAAACACTTAATTACCTCCGCAACAAGAAAGGGCAGAAGGGTGTTCTGGTGATCAAGATTGATTTAGAATAAACTTACGATCGCCTGAAAGGGGATTTTATTAGGGACACCATGGGGGAAATAGGTTTGGCCAGTTCTTTCATCAACAGAATCATGGCATGCGTGGAAAGGATTATGCGTGGAAAGAATCATGGCGTGCGTGGAAAGAATCGTGGTCGTTAATTACACATGTTTTTACCCTTATTCTTGAGCCGTTTGAGATGTTCATTCTCGTGTTTTAGGCCGATTTCACGCTAGGTTGTGCTTGTTTGTGATATTTCAGGTCCTAGTACGTGAATGAAGGTTTGGGAGCGAGTTCGGGGTCGATTGGACAAAGATCGGACGCGTGGCGAGTCGCCGAGGAAGCCACACATGCACAAATAAAACCCACACGGCCGTGTGAAGGAGCAATGTGGCCGTGTGGGATTATGCGAGGCTTCACACGGCCAGACTGGTTGAGCCACACGGCCGCGTGTCCATGGCCGTGTAGGTAGCCTGAAGACACTTAATCGGAACGCGGCGTTTTGACCTCACACGGGCATCTGGGTATGCCACACGGCGGTGTGGCCTGCCCGTGTGATCAGGGTTTTTTGGTTTTTACCCAATTTCGGGCCACAAGTGAGGGAATCGATTTTTCAGAGCAAAAACAGAGCCCTAGAGAGAGAAAGTGCGAAGAACACATCCTAGAAGCAATTTTCGAGCTGGGTTTCATCAAATCGAGCTTGGAGATCGTCAAAGGAGTGGAAATCATCATCCCAGAGCAGATTCTTTCCATTGTTATGAGTATGACTGCTTTGTATTCTGTTTTCCTCTCTCTCTCTATGGAGTAGAACCCTTTTCTCACTTGGGTATGAAGAACTCTAGTTCCATGTGTTAGGGATTTGATTGTAATGACTTGGGATGATTATACTGTTTGGTTTTAATCGAATGATGCATTTTTAATTGAATTGATTGAAGTCTGATCAGCTTTTCTTAATTTTTGCTGCAACCTGAGATAGATAGAATCTTATTAGGTTGTTAGAGCTTCATCATTCGGTAGTAGGAGATTGGCTATACGAGAGTAAGCCAGTTTACTGCTTTGTACTGGAATCCAATTCCAGTAGTGGAGTTCTGTGCTTATTGCTTCAGCTTTCTATCCCGGTGAAGACTAGTCGTCTGCCGGATAGTTAGACTGAGAGGACTTGGTCAGCTTAAGAGATTCTAAGCTACTGTCGGATCTTCCGCAGTCTAATCAACGATAAATCAACCCAGGGTAATCACAATTGAGACCTAACTAAGGAGCTAGGGGGACTCATTCCCGAGTGACTCTTCTTTGCTGGTGAAAACCGAACCAATTCCTGCTTTCTTTCTGCTTTTGCTTAAAACAACAATCACTTGACTTAGTTGGCTAGATAATAGATAATCACGGAGTAAGCAGTAGATCTAGACCCCGGGTTGATAATAGAAC